AAGTGACATAGCAAGGAGACTCATATTTAAGAAGAGGAAAAAGGAAGTGTCGCTCTCTTTCCCCTCGGCTCCTGCTCCAGCGGCACGATGTGATCCACCAGCTAGGAGGGACGCCAATAAGGCGTCCGATAAGATAAGTCTTATAAAATATATAGATGTATGATAATTGATACTGAGCTAACAGATGAGAATCCTAGTCATTGGCCAAGCAGCATTGTAACTAATACAAGTCTCTCTGTGTATTCATTTGGGCCTAACTTGGGCAGGTGGCTGGCGTAAAGCTTACACGTGGCAGTGGGGCTCAGCGGCGTTTGGCAAAAAGATTTATTGTAACATTTATCGTAACAGGAGGCAGAGGCAGGCAAATCTCTATAGTTCAAGGCCAGCCTGGTCTACAAAGTGAGTTCCAGGACATGTTTCAAAGCTACAGAGAAACCCTGTCTCCAAAACAAACCAAAACAAAAGGTTCAAATAATTCTATTGATTAGTAAGATAAAGATTTTGTTAATCATTTTCCTATAAGAAAATGTTAGAATTGTATTTGTTTATAAACGATCTCTTAGTATTCTGTTTCTAGGTCTTAACATGTATTCTACTCAACTGGAACTCCTTAGTTCATTTTTGTGGATTTTAGAATACCCATCAAATGTCATGGTCATAATGATCATTTTTTCAATACAATTTTCATTTCATTTACTGGTTTGGGATACTTGCTATTGTCCTTTATATTTTTTTTATTTTTATGTGTGTGTGTGTGTGTGTGTGTGTGTGTGTGTGTGTGTGTTTCAAGGGTTTGATTTATCTTTTATGGAACTTTGCCAAACTATATTTATATTAATTCACATGTCTGTTTGAGTAGGTGCTGCATGACTTTTCCTGGCCAGCCCAAATAGAGGGCAGTTTCATATCAAAGAAAACAAGGGTTACTTAGAGGGATTCTCAAGGGCAGCCTCTCTACTGACAGAGCCTCTTCTTCATGACAGGACAGAGGCTTCATACCCCCCCCCCCCCCCCCCACACACACATACACCTGTGAATGGTAGTAAGCCTAATCCTTTTGATAGGCTATATTTCTGAAAGGTATAAATAGCTTCCTATTTATTATTGCTTATCATAGTAAATGAGATTATCAGGAGTCATTTTCATGTTTAGTAACTATATTAGGTCCATTGTTACTTTTGTCTTGATGCTTACTTTGAGGAAAAGAAGCCATTATGTACACATGATTTTTGTTTTTTTTAAAACATGCAGAGCACCAGTTTTTTTGTTATTTTTATTATGAAAAGTAGCTTGGTTTTTGAAATTGCAGTTAGATGGGAAAACTGATTGGATAGAAGTAGTAAGCTAGCTTAAGTAAATCTGTAATAATGGTTATACAGTTTGTTAATGAATACTGTGAACTTGTTATGGAAAATTAAAACTTTATATTCTAGGAATCACATGCAGCTCAGCTTCAGATCCTTATGGAATTCCTCAAGGTTGCAAGGAGAAATAAGAGAGAGGTATGCTATTTCATGTTTACTTTATGTTTGGTTTCTGTTATTCCTTGTTCCTGTTATAGAAGCATTTTAGGCTGAAACATGTTTAAATAATTTAAAAGTATGTAATTTGGGGGGAAGTTTTCTTTAGCTTTGTTATTTAAAAAAAAAAAAAAAACCTTACAATTTCTTTTTTTGTTGCTGTATTGTTTTGTTTTGTTTTGGCAAGGTCTCAGTATGCAGCCCTGGCAGGTCTGGAGTCTAGACCAGACTGGCCTTGGACCCATAGATATCTGCTTGCCTTAGTGTCCTGAGTGCTGGAATTAAAGGTGTATACCACCATGTCCAGCACAATTCAGTATTTTCTTCAAGACCCTTTTTGGAGGTATGCTACACAGATTTCAGTGGATCTTACTTTTATGGCTAGGAATATAGTTTAGTAGTACAGTTTTTGCCTGCTATACAAAATATAAGGTGAAACTCCAGCTTACAGCACTGCCAACTTACCATAATGATTCATCTCAAAGTTCTAAAAAGTAGAAAATAGAACCATTATGAATTTTCATCAGAAAACAGGGAATTTTAAATAAAACTTGAAAAGTTGTAGGTTTTTGCTGTGGAAAAAAAAAATCCATGTGGAAAAATAATTTAAACCTATTGGTAATGTCTTAAGTCATGAAGGATACCTAAAAGACAATTTTTTATTCACTGATTTATAACCAGAATATTCTATAATTTAGTGCACACATTTCCTCAGCCATTTCACAAACATAGATAATATGTAAATTCTGTGCTCTTGGCAGCATATATAAAATTAACTCACATGTTTGTTTTTCAAATTTCTAACACTTTTACATTTAAGAGCTGTCTTAAAAAGATACCTTTACTTATTGAAATATGTAATGTACTAAATACTATGTTCTAGGCTATTAACTTGAAAATAAAAATGATTAGTAATATTTTTATTGTGCTAAAACAATATAATTCCAGAACTTTATATTATCTTAGAAGTTTCTATTTTGGCTATTCATCTTGTTACTAACTCCTGGCATTGCTAAGATTTGGAATATGCTGGTTTGATAGCTAAATGCTCTTTATATAGTTTGTGACTATACTTTTTTTATCCTGACTTTTCTGGAATTTTGTATGGTATCAGAAACAGTATCTTTATTGCATGTTTAAGATTCACTTGTCTATTTGTGGGAGAGAAGGTAATGGTCAGTTATTCATTTGTTTAAATTATTTTATAGCACAGTGCTTCTTTACAGTTGAAGTTTTTGTTTTATTTGTGTTTGCCTGCATGTATGTGTATGTGAGTGTGCCACTAGTGTGCCTGGTGCCTGAGGAGGATGAGTCTTACTGAAACTAAATTCACAGATAGTTGTGAGCCACTTAGGTGCTAGAAACTGAACCCAGGTCTTCTGAAAGAGGAGCAAGTGCTCTTAACAGCCATCTCTGTAGCACCCTACTCAGTACTTAAGCTATTGAGTTCATGGAATCACCTTAGGAGCTTGTCAAAATGCAGTCTTTGTTTTTCTTTTTTAAACTAAAGATAGTCTTTGGAGCCTCACAATGCATTTCCAGCAAGTCCCAGATGATGTTGATGCCCCATCCTTGGATCACTACAAGTAACAAAACTGAAAGTGTTTACTATATGGATTTTTAAAATACAGTGTGTATACTGTGAGCCCCCATATCCCCTGTTCCTCTATAAAACTGATTAATTTTCATATTTTATACCTACCTTACTTATTAAACAGAATGCATGAAATTATGTTGCAGTCATTTTATATATTTTTGTCTTAGACTTACAACTTCTTGTAAGTGATATTTGGTTCATTGTAAAGTAGTTGATACTTGTAAAGTACTTGATGAATAAATTCATCAATACAGTGAATAACCCAGCCATTAGGATAAGAGTTAAATGAGATATATGATAATTTTCTATATATTGAAATATTTAAGGTTTTCATTCTTTAATTAAGTTCCTTTTTTTGTATAGTTTCAAGTATTAACAATTAAAGCTTTTATGACTGTAAAACTCAGAAAGGTCTAAGACTTTTACCCTCACTAGCAAATGAATAAGTTAGCACCACCACAGTTTAATAGATGCTGGCCAAAGACTTGAGACTAGTGGGTTGAGATGAAAGCCGTCATTACTATTACTTCATCTTTGAATGAGTCTGCTCTGACTCTCAGACCCCATAAGGGCTGTGTGAAGGTGGGCCCACTTAGAATGGTACATCTAATGGATTTGTGTTACAGCTAAGGGATCCTAAGCTCAGGAAATCTCAATCTATCTAGTCTTTGTTCTGTAGAGAGACATTGTTTTGATCATAATAGTCAGAAAATGTATCTGACCTTGTTCATGGAGCAGTTTTAGTTAGGTTGTTCACTGTATGAATATTCGTCTACAAAAAATTTTGAACAGAAACTGTCATAAGTGTAAAAATTGTGATGATGAGTGGAAAGGAGGATTGTTTCCCAACATTAACTCTTCTAATGAGTCTAATAGGTCTTATCTCTGGTAGCCTGTATTTTCTAGTAATAATATCTCTGATATTTCATTGAATCATGCAGCTTTGTACTGGTTTTCTATTTTTGGCATTAAACTTCTTGGGGAATTTTGCTGGGGCCCTTTTAGCTTGAGTATAATATCCTTGAGATTGATGTCCTCTTGTACTATATATTTTATAGGTAGGTTAGTTTAAAAAAATACTAATTTCAAGTACTTCTGGATATTGGAGCCTATAGTAAGCAATATGTATACAGTCATTAGTACATTTTTTAAGTGTATCTGTGATTGATTGATTTGGTTATTTTAGTTTTAGTTATTATAAATGATGGAAGAGCTAATTAAAGTCTAAAAAATTACTATATTTTTATTTATTTTGTGCAGCTGCATTAAGAAGGGTTGGCTTACACAGGTCAGAAGATAGCATGAGGGAATGTTTTGTGCTACTTTGTGTTCTAGATATCAAACTGAGATCATCAACTCTATGTCTGTACCTTTACCCCTTGAGCCATCCATCTCACAGGTCTGATACTTCATTTTTATATCACCAGAGGCAGAGGCAAGTGGATCTCTGTGAGTTCGAGGCCAGCCTGATCTGCAGAGCGAGTTCCGGGATAGGCTCCATAGCTACACAGAGAAACCCTGTCTAAACAAAACAAAACAACAAACACAAAAAAACATTGTTCTGTTCTAAAGTTAAGAGAGAATTCCCTATATAGATGTGAATATTGAGAGGCGAGAATCTTTAGCAGCCATTTTAGAGCCTGCCTATCATAGCATTTAATACCTGTATTTAGATGACTATGTTAGTCTTTTTCATAGTTAGAGCGGTAGAAGAATTTTGAGTTCCAGGTAAAGCAGGTGTAGCCATTCAAGTCTGTACCTGTATTTGAGTCATTGTTTAATATGTCACTTGATTTATTTTTGAGGTAGACTTTCTGGCAGTTTTTGGACCCTCTTTATTAAATAGTTTATTTCAGTTGGAATTTAAATTAATTGAATTTTAACCATATTATATGAAATGAAACATAGAAAACTGTATCAGTCAAGTTTTTGCTTTAGAATAGAATAGCATGTACACAACTCTCTTGATTACACAACGAAGCATAGAAGCATTGCTGGGATTTCAGAAGCTTCCTGCCTACCTTTTCAGATTGCTTTCTCGTTTTCCTGCTTGCTAACATCTTGATATTTATGGTAGTAACTTCTCTTGCCTTTCTTGAATGTTTTTGCTACTTAAGCATTTATAGGTCTCTATTTTTGAGCTTTATGTAAATGTGTTTGTACAGTATGGAATCTGCTCCTGCCTTCTATGGCTCAATGTTAAGATTCACCTATATGAATATAGATGGCTAGTTGACTGTCTGAATTAGTTTCTATTGCTCGTGATAAAAAAATACTGTGATCAAAAGCAACTAGTGTAGGAAAGTGTTTATTCAGTTAACAAGTCTCCAGTCACCTTCTATCATTAAGGGGTGTCAGGGCAGGAACTCATGACAGGAACTGAAGCAGAGGCTATGGAGGAGTGCTCTTACTGGCTTGTTCCCCATGGTTTTCTCAGCCTGCTCTTTTATATGACTCAGGACCACCTGCCCAGGGGTAGCACTGTGAGCTGGGCCCTGCCATAACCATCATTAATCAAGAAAATACCCCTATAGGCTAATCTGGTGGGGAAATTTTCACAATTGAGAGTCCCTCTTCCCAAATGATTGTAGCTTGTCTGGTTGACAACAAACTAACCAGGACATTAACTGATTTTATTTCATAGTGTTTTTTGAATAAGTATATAGTGTTTTCATAAAAATAAATGTTGGTGGACATTTGTGTCTTTTCACTTGAGACTGTTCATAAATAGTGCTAGTATTGTACATAGTGTTTATTAGAATACTTACTTGTATGAGATAAATGTATGAAAGAAATCAGTAAGTCATAGGGTATGTATATCTTCACATTAAAGAGACAATGCTAAAGTTTTCCAAGCGGTACTCCTTGGATTGCATATTCCTTTAATGGTGTTTATATTGTATGTTATTCTTGCCAGAAGTTGTCAATGACTTCCTAGTTTAGAAACTAAAACCTTGTCCTCTGGGTATGCATTCTATCTCCTTGGGATTTGAATTTGCATTTCCCTTGATGACTAACAGATTGAGCACATGGTATTATGTTTACTGGTTTTGTGGATTATTTTTTATATGTGTCTGAAGTATTGCTTACATAAGATTTGTTGTAACTTTTCCATTATTTTTGTGGCTTAATACTTATACATTGTTTTGATATAAAATCTTTGTCTTATTAATCTGTCTAATACAAAGCTCATGTTTCCTTCTATTTGGGATGCTTTTTTTCTGTTGTCTGTTGTTTTTCTCTTTTGTCTTTTTGAGGGACACACCACACAGCTCCCAAATAAACCACCCATGAAGGCTTATTATTACTTACTATTACTTACCCAGCCTTAGCTTGGCTTATTTCAGCCAGCTTTCCTTACCTATAATTATCCCGTCTACCTTTT